TCTTTGTGAGCCTATATAAATTCGCTGGTGACGGGCATATTTATAGAGAAGTTTCAATGCCTCCAAGCACCGACGCCGCACGACGTGCGGCGTCGGTGGTTGGAAGCCTTGAAAAATAATTGGTCTTGAACGACATAATAAGAGCAATATAATTTTGAGATATCTGCGGAGATAAGCCTTATTGATAACTTGATTGCATACATAGTGCCAAAGACGCTTATCTTGGCGATGAGCGCTTTCAGGACGATGATGCTCAAAAGCGAACTTGGACGCGTTCAGAATGACCCTTTCCAAGCTTCGGAGGTTTGGACGGACCCCGATGGCGATTGTCAAGGCAAAGAGCAACCAGTCAATCAGCTCGCTTGGTTTAGTTTTCTGTATGTTAGTATTTGATTGTGCCAGACTATCTGGCAAGGAAGGCAAGGGCGCTATATTTCCCAGAATTCAGTGACTTTAGTCTTAGATTTTGAGAGAAAGATTGAAATCGTTGTGCTGCTGTCTTCCGAAAAGAATATTATAACAGACACACGCTGTAAAAAACAACTGAGCCTAGCGAATTCACGTAATGTAAAAACGCATGTAGCTAGAGGTCACTTTCAATCGAAAGCAGCCATCATTGTTCTAGGAAAACACAATAGTATTACGTGTAAAGAAGCTTGACAGTCGCTGAAAATACTTTCTTTGTATTCGTAATTTTGCTTCATGCTGATTCAAATTATAATGAAAAAAAAAAAATAATCAAAAATATACATGAAGGGGGCAACGTGCGTCAGGCAAAGCGTAAACAATCCTCCGAAGGTACAACGCAACAATAATTGTTTACACTGCACCTGGATGTGAACAAAGAAAATGAGGAGAAAAAAAAAAAAAAAGCCAAAAACATAGACGACGAGAAGGAAAAAACCCTACAGGACGAAGCTGTGCTCGCAACTGAAGTTTTATTAGTAAAAAAAGATTAAAGGAAAGCGCATATGCAAAACAGATAACAGACACCAAAAACCACCACGTACTCATCTATCAAGCACGACACTAACATAAGTGCTGAGTATCCTCGAAAACCACCTTTCATATTCGCTTGCAAAACGCAAACCTCTTTATCTGACAAAGCCACCGACGGAGCGCTGACGCAGAGATCGTCCAAAGGGAAATAAAAAAATACTTTTATAATTTCTCGTTTTTTTTCGCGGTGTCTGGCCAGGACATCAACTTTACGGGAATCCGGCACGCACTCGCATCTACAAGGTGTCATAAAAAAAAAATTAGAGGTTTTTTTGTTTTTTTTTTGCCACAAAAATAAACGAGGAATCGCGGAACGCTCATGCTCCGCCCAAAGGTAGCGCTAGAGGTCACAACCAGATGCCAAAGTTTCAGCTGGATCCGATACCTTATTCAAAAGTAACTAACTATTTTCTGAAAATTTCAATGGAAAAATATAGCCCTTTTTTGCCCGTTTTCGGTTTCTGGTGCCATAGAGCCCATACATGTATTCGAAAACTCCATCGGCCGCCGTTTTCCCGTTGAAACTTTCAGAAACTCTCTTATAAATTTTGAATAAGGTGTCCGTTCGGGCTGAAACTTTGGCATCTGGTTGCGACCTCTAGGGCTACCTTTGGGCGGAGAATGAGCGTTCGACGATGCGTAGTGCATTTTCGCAATAATAAAAAGAAACCGTTTAATTCTTTTTATGACACCTTGTACTAGAGTGCATTGCCAAATATCCCCCAACAGTGGCCCCCAGTGAATACGAATGCTCTCTAAGCCTGTCATGGTGACACCTCCCCGACTGCCCCACTTAAAAAATATTACAAGAGACGGGGATTTCGTAAAACAATGGACGAAACACACGTCACGAACCGTTCTCAGTCCGCTGCTCGCGACATACGTCACCAACCCTAGAACGCAATTGGCTTAATTTTTGAGGCACCAAGAAGACTACTGATATGCCGTACCTCCCTCCTACTCCCTTCAGGTTATGAGCCTTCTTTACACCTTTGGCCTTCTTCAAAAGGGAACTTGCTACCTTCGTCAAAAGGTTCACGCGAAAACCCGACGTCACTAGCCTCCCTACCTGCTCCCGGAAACTGTCATTCGACGTGTGGACACACAACTTCTTAAGAGCCGAAGAAAAACAGGCGACAGCAATCCGTCCCTTCACAACTTTGGAATGTGAGGACCGTTAGTCCAGAATAAGTTTCTTAGAACAGGGTCTGTAAGACCAACACATATAATTCTACACCCCGGCTGACCGGCAGGTCCAAAAATTGGAGTAGACCTTCTTTAGGTTCCTCAAACGTGAAACTGACTACCACAGCACACTTACTGAATGCATCCAAGACCATATTCCGAGTGTCACTTCCATCAGCTCCTTTATAGAGGACTAAAAAGTCGTCCACGAACGGAACACTTTTTTTTTTTTTACCGCAGAAGAACACATGGTACTTTTTACAGCTCTGTCTGCCCCAGCAAACAAAATATCACTCAAGATTGGCGCCACCCATAACCCAATGCTTACGCCTTTTTTCCGAAGAAACACCTTATCGCGCCAGCCAACCATCATAGAGCTCAAATAAAACTGTAACAGCCCAAGGAAGCCTTCCAGGGCGACACCGCTAGCGTTTCTGTATCCAAGTTCCCCGTTAGGTTCAATGCATGACCTCACCGAGAATAACAGCTGGTCGTAGGGCAAAGAATCAAACAAGCCTTCACCATCCACACTAAAGGTCGACCACTTTCCTGCCTCTTTATCTTTTAAAGAACTCTACTACCGCCTCAGAGTTGTGCACCTGGTAAGGGTTTCCGATATCTTAGGGCGACAGTTGCTTCTGGAGTTACGAAGCCAACTGACGCTGCCAAGTTCCCCTCTCGGTAACAATAGCTCTAAATAGGCACACGTCCTTATGCGTTTTGGCACTGAAAAATATGTCGAGAGACAGGCCAACTGATTTTTTCATCCTCCCTTCCACCTGCTTCAGGGTAAGGCTATCACATAACATAATTGCCCGCTTTTTTACCTTTATTCTTTTTTACTTTTTATTTTAATTGTTTTAATTGGTTCGGCCTCTGATTGTAATTGCCGTCAATACTGAAATTGCAACATGACCCCCGAAGACAAGAATAAAACAGTTAATTAGCAGATATAGTTAGTTGGTCAACGTGCCATAACAATGATTCCCTCGTCTAATGTCCGTCGACAAAGATAGATACATGGTGAAGACGGCACTTGCCTAATTCGCACTCATTTTTTGGTCTCTTCTGATTAAAATCAAACCCGTATACGCTATTTATATTTTATCATTCTTCTCCAGAGCATTGATGATTGGAAAATTGAATGAACACCATTTCAACACTCTTGTCAGCTGCAGTTTGCATATCAAATATGAACGGGTATAGATGTTCATACTACAAATTGTAAAGCGACTTTTTAGGAATTAATGTTCAGGTATGACTAAAGCACAATATTCATCATCATATTAAACTTAAGGATCCCATAAGGATAATCGGGCATTACTGCAGTAACCATAATATATAAACCTTTAAAAAAAACTGCAAACTGTAAGCTCCTAGAGAATACGTCACTGGCAAGGTTTACAACGTAGGATTATATTTCCAGCGGATACAAGTATTTAATATATGACCAAATGATCTGTCAAGTGCAGAGGTCAGAAACATACGGCTTGCGGGCCGCATTCGGCCCGCGACTCACAGGCACTCGGCCTGCAGCCCAGTATAACTTTTCGATAGCTGAATCATGGAACAAGAAATCTGACTAAATTTTTTTTGCTAGAAACCTGAAGTCCAGTTTGCAGACAATTGTCTGAAAGTAGATTTCAGGTTGCCAGCGAAAAATACCATTAGATTTTCTGTTCCATAGTCCAGTTAGCGAAAAGATATACTGCTTTTTATTGGTACTGATACGAATCCCGGTTCGCAAGTCTCGAACGCCAAAATGGCATGGGCCATGCTGATCTCACCTCGCGGATGAATTTTCGCTCAAAACGTAGCTCTGCTCTTTTAACGTATTCGCATATCTAATACTTATCTATATTAATTTTTTCTTTGTTTTCGCTTTATTTTTTGCTTCACAACTTTTTGTAATGCGCAAGAGTTCATGTACTAGGATGCAAGCGTGAGTTCTTCGTTGAAGAATGCTTCTCGACTGCGCGAACTCTCGATCAGCAGGACATCTGTCGAAGATACAGCTAGATACTCGGCATCCTCACAGTCAACAAAATCATCAGAATAGCAAGAAATGTCAAAAGTAACTTCTATTTTCTTTCAGAGACAAGTTGAGCTTGGTTAATTCCTGATTGAATTGAGCAACTGGAACGACCAGTGTAGTTGCTCTCTTACTCTATTAAAAATGCAAACAGGTTGACGGGCGGTGTCATTTTAATACTTGTCATCACATCAGGTCAGGGTCCAAAGTACTCAAATCAAATCTAAAGATGTCACTGGAAAAACTGTGAGTTTATAAAATGCACGGAGCACGAGGTCTAATCTCCTTAAAACGTTCTAACACCCCCCCCCCCCCCCCTGCCCCCTCCCGTCTTACGCCGGCCCTCGACCTCTTCGGTGTGGGCCATCTGGGCCCCACACTCAAATGAGTTTGGTACCACTGGTGTAGTGGCTCAAGAAAAATTGTTTTTTTTTTTAAATTATCTTTAACTTCCTCTCTTTCTTGAGACTTTCCTTTTGTTATCTTTCAAAATCGTATGCCAATGTTCAGAAAAGACAATAAAAAAGAATAATGGCCTCAGGCAGGCGGGAAAAAATTTCCGCAGCTTGTGACGCAAATATTTTGTCAATATCTTTCATAGGCAGTGCGAAATTCAATTGTGATTAGCTCGCTGTCACGGACTTTGAGAACAATGCGTGTGACAGGTCGTGTCTTTTTCTACGAAAAAAATATCCATAAAAATAATGCTTTCTTTACACCGGCGAAGCACTATATAAGCCCACTCCGAAATCTGTAACTACATCGTCGACATCTACCGTCCAAGATGAAGGCAACCTTTGCAGCCGTTTGCTTCCTAGCCACAGTGGTGTGCACTATTGCGCTGCTGCCTGGTAAGTCTGTTACCGAAATTGTTGCATTTTTATGACTCTCCAGCTCTAAGATATTTTTCTTAGGCCCGCAATCTGCATCACAATTGTTGAGCTCTTACATCGAGCTCTGTTGCTTTGTACCGAATCAACGTAAACCAACGATAAAATTTCGTATACCTCAGCCGCCAGATTTAGTTGCTTGGTCTTTCTGCGAGAACCGGACTTTTATATGCAAAGTGGCTTGGTCGGAAAGGGCATGTCGGAAACAAACTAAATTTCAAGTTTATTAGTATATAATTCGTACTCGAGGATACAAAATTACTTCTGCCCCAGTAACTTCACTACTTTGAAACATATGAAACACTGTTTATTTTATCATGAGGAAGGGGGGAAACCAATGCAAAAAACTGCTTTTATGCAGACTGACAACCCATCAGTGCCCCTACAAGGCCAAAACTAACACGAGGCCAAAAAAGAATCACAAAAGCTCATAATTATATATATATTAATAGTTGTATTTTATTTTTATCTTTTTTTTTTTTAGGGGGGGGGGGGAGTGGTGGCGTTTTAAATTTCGTTTTTTTCGATGCCACCTCATTTTCTAACTAGTGTTCTCCGTGAACGCATTTAATGAAGAAATTTTACGGAATGTAAAACTCGCATTATTTTTTGATAAATGGTTTTATTAAAAGAAATTCAATCAGCGCTTTGTGATAACATGGTAAAACACTCGTAAATGGTATTAGAATTTTCGTAAAGGCCACGATCCGAAAACAACGGAAACTGTTTGTCGGTCGAAATTAGAGTGTTTTTCCATGTTTTTCCCGTGCCTTATAACACCAATACTACGAACTAGTTTTAATATTACATGAGAGGTGCTCGACATAACATATCAGGGTAGAGTTGATCTCAGGACGAAACCGTATTTCGTGAGTGCGACCATCTTAAATTGTTATACATGATAATTTCATTCATATTCAATATATCACCAAATTTCTCTGCAGAGAAGATCTGCAGAGCACCACATCCTGTGGCAACCTGCACCGCTGGTGAACCGATTAAATCGATGTTCTACTTTGACGACGGCACCGACCAATGCGAGGAATACTATGGATGTGGAGGGGGTCCCAATGACTTTGGGTCCAGACGTGCCTGCATGGATGCCTGTCCTTACGGTAAGTTTTGCACATATTATTTTCTTTTCTTCCATTCAACACGGGCCACAGACTATGCTGTTGTTTTCCTACGAAGCTTTGTGACGTGCCACGTATTAAACAAGAACCACGTTTACGTGGAATTTACAACCGCCTTTACGCAGTCTGTTTACAGAAGCACTATTGTATCAGATAACTAAGCGCAGTCTTGAAAATTAGAATGGCTGTATTAGGTTGTGCATATCTTGCTATATCAGTATAGCACTACATCATGAGCCTTCTACCACACCCTGCGAAATGTCTGCGCGTCTACTTACCCGCACAACACTCGAAGAGCCAATCATTGCGATGTAGGAAATCAGCTCAGCGAATGATGAGGCGGAACATCTATTTAGACCTAAAAATGAAGTCTCCGCTGTGGCATTACGCAATGCAGAGCGTCACGCTTGCATTGCGTAATGCCACAGCGCAGACATAATTTTAAGGTATAAACAAATGTTCCGCCTCATCATTCGCTGAGCTTATTTCGTAGATCGCAGAGATTGGCTCTTCGAAGGCTGTTCGGGTAAGTGGACGTGAAGGCATTTCTTAGAGTGTATAGGGGAGTAACGAACTTATATTATGAGAGGCGAACGCGAAAAGCGCAATTATTAGAATGTTAAAGGTTGAGCATATCATTAAAAATATTATTGTGTATGGCATATGAAACAACGATTTTACCCTTATTCACTGTGAACATTGTTTGCCTAACGTCAATGCTCGTCTTGCTACTACTCTTTAAGTGCACTTAAACATAAATATGGCCAAATCAGGCTTTGGTACCAAGCAGTGCATTCTGCAAGCTATAGGAAGGTTCTAATGACTAGCAACTCCTACTGGCATCTTATAAAAATAGATGGTAAGATTATTTCAGGGGTTGCTCTTATCGGTCCCCAAACAATTATGTTTAATTTATGTGTCTTTAGTACAAATCAAGGAATAAAAATCAAAAGAAAAACAGTCCCGGTTTGACGCCGAGTAACACTTGTATTCTCGCGCAGGTAAACACAAGCCAAACTCCCCCAAGCCCTGAAAGTCTACTCGCCAATGATTCGGTAACTCTCACCAACCAATGTCTCGAGCTAAACAAAACCATATCCGTCATACGAGCAGCCTTTATTCGTTTATTGTGCATTGCATCATGCAATCTAACGGTCTCGTAGTGAATGTGTGCGACTTGATTTTCACCAGCATTTACTTCTATGTAAGAAGCATGTTTTTAACCTAAAAAAAGTGCTTGTGTGGTGAATTCCGGGACCAAATTATTTTCTTTTTGAATTAAATATATGTTCTTAGTTGTATTAGACCAATTGGCTGTAAAATATATATATATATATATATATATAAAAACACATGTATACGTGTGTGCGTGTTTTATTGTGTCCCAAACAGCTGCTAAGGCCTTAGGAGGGTTACACTTGCACGAGGTGGAAGACTATCGGATCAAAAATATTTTCACTCTGCGATGTGCGACTAAGTATTACACTTATTTTTAAAACATGCAAGGGTAGCGAAAAAGTCCAGGTCCAGGGTTAAAACATTTTTAATACCTGGTCTACATCCGAGTAAATGGTTTAATAGATTTTAGTTTAAAAGGGTAAACAGAAACCGTAGATCGATTTAGTCGCTGGGGAACATGAAGTGATATTCTACTCATTAACACGGGAGAATCAGTAGCAGTGTTGAGCAGTTTATATTTAAAAAATAACATGTCGCGAATTAGTCGTCTCTTCGAAAGGGACGAATTAACAAGTGTTTCCAATTGACGTACGTATTCATAAGAAAACTCTAGGTCCAATGTTCGGATCATAGATAATTCTTACAATTCGTCGCTGTACGCACTGTAGCCTTACCATTTGACTGAGTCCCAGGGTATTCCACACAGAACAGGAGAACTTCAACCTTGATAAAACTAACGACTGAAGTATGTGCAGTATGCAGGTGAAAAAGCGGAAACGACGGGTAATGCGTGCAATTACGCCTAGGATGTGTAATGAATAATTGATCATTTTTAAAACATGGCAATGAAAATTAGGCTTTGAGTCAATCAAAACACAAAGGTCGCGTACCACAGAACATCTTGAGTATTTGAGCCGTGTAATTTTAAGGAATGAACAATAAGTTATTCCTTAAGGGAGAAAGATAGAGCCTTAGTTTTGGAAGGGGTTTAAAAGGCGCAAGCTTGTACAACACCACAGCCGAATCGCATCAACATCGTTGTGAAACAGTTCACAGTCATCAGGCTTCACGTCATCAGCGAACTGTAGCGTTTCTGATTTACTGACACAAGCTGCAAGACTGTTTATAAAAATATTAAAAAGCAAATCTCCAAGGATCGACCCTTTTTGTACGCCGGAATATATCACGTAAGGATATGATTTGCATCCTAAGTCCAAAACGTCTAAACCGCAGTACTTTTATATAAGATTTCTAGACACCCCGACCCCTACGTTATATTTAATATGATCAAAATGTTTCCTAAACGCTTCAAACTTTTACGCTAGTAAAGCTTGTATATTTAATTCTTCACCCGTGAAGCACGACAAAATATTGCTGCAGAAACCACTATTGTTGGTTGTCCATGAACTGCGATAGCTGTCGTCATGAGACTCGAGACGCAGCTCACTGTGAATACGACGACGCGAATTTTGAGTAAACACTTTAAAATGTTAATGGTTCAAGGCGCAATAATTAACGTCAGTACGACTGCAGCGCGCCACTTTGAAATTCAGTGATAGTTTCGTATCTGTGTAATCGTTTATTTTTCACTGTCTGTGTAATCGTTTAATGTTCATGTGGTTTCTCCGCCATTATTGCAGCTTCGTGTGTGCTTCTTATATTGTTTCTGCGTAATCGTTTAATTTTCAAGCTGTTCGACCATCATCCTTGTTCATGTACCAACTAGCTCAACTGAAACCGATAATTACTTCGTTGCTTGGGCATTGAAGTCCACGGGCTTATATTATGCCAAGTTAAATAACGCTGATTGCTTCACAAAGTAATTTTACCAAAATATGTTATACTTTGTATTAGTGCATCTTTTACTTTTAAACTTGTCACTGCAAAACCGGACGCCTGCATTATTTCTCGTTTGAAGGTGTAATGTATTGTATCTAACAAACATGCCCTATAACAAGCACGTTCGTGATAGCTGCACCTCTAGAATAGGTGTACTCTCGGATTGTTCACATTGTGCGCAGTCTGTTTTGGCAATTATTGGAACATAATTAATGTTAATGTCGGCGCTCTTATACACTGCACACGCGCTCACGTGAAACCAACGGGCTTAAACCTCTTTCTAATTTCAGGGAATCCGAAAGTGCGCCATCGCTGACTCAGGAGAACATCTTTGATATGGCGGCCGGAACACCCGACAAGGCATTAAAACCTAATAAAATAGAGCATTAAACAACCACCGTTTTGGTCTCTGTTGTTCGCTTTCAGTTTTTATTGAAGGCAGTCTGGAGGTTACAGTCATTGAATCTATACCTAGCTCTTTCTGTTGCGTTTTGGAAGCGCTCAATAAAATTTGTTGATTTATTCCTAAATATTAGCGTATGTCACATTTGACATTCTTTTCTTTGAAAAAAAAAGCTTCGAGCAAGATAGATCAAATATATTTCTCCTGGAAACGTAGTGAGACGTTGGGGACATTTTCGAAACATCGCTTTAATTCTCGTGAGGGAAACATGACTTTTCCAAGGGCGAGCCTAAAATGGACATGGCTATGCCCCTTTTCACAATCTTAGAGTGGGAGCATGTCAAGGGCAGGTCAAAAAAAGAGCCATTCCGCCCTACACATCCTCCCACTCTAAGATTGTGAAAAGGGGCATAGCCATGTGCATTTTAGGCTCGGCCTTGGAAAAATCATGTTTTCATACCGTGAAGGACAGTTTTCGCTCTCAACTTGAACGCCTTAAGGCGTCCGGTTACACTCACGTAGTTTTAATAGCAGTTATGGAGTCTTTGTTGAAGAAGGTTAAATGGGGTAGTAGCAGCAGAAAAAAATGTACTCTGCTGAGGGATGCCTTCTTTGAAGAGCTGATACACAGGCTATGTCATTTTGAAAGAATGTGAGAATATACACGGCACCGAGCACATTTTTATTCCTCGCTTTACTGATATGCGAAGGGTCGAACCGGAACCAAATCGAAAACCGGAACCGAACCGTTATTTTTACATAACCGGAATTCCGAAACGAAATCTTCGCCACCATCTTGGAACAGAACCGGAACTCAACCGGAAAAAAAAAAATAATTATATCGCTAATCGGTTCGAATGGTTCGAAGCGGTTCCCGGTATTTTTTTTTTTTTTTTTTAATTACAGGTTGAGAGTTTGAGGAATGTAAATTGTCAGCTAAAATTCCATGTCATATATTTATCTACCAAATCGATCGATTTAAGCGTTCGGCGCATGCGTGACGCCGTCATAACTTTGGTTCACGAGATGAAGACGGCCACGCATGCCAGGGCTTGTGCCGTCTCGTGATCCACAAGCGCAGAGCTCCTACAAGGTTATAATTGCACGTGCGCTTGTTCTGCCAGTGTTTCGTTGTGCTTGTGTGAAAAGTCCCACAAAAGGAAGACAATCAGCGCCTACCCCCCTACCCCTTACCCCCTAAAAAAAGAAGAAACACAAGAAGAAAGACAGGTTTTTGGACGTCCGCGCTACAGTTTGCTACAGTCACGTATATTTTTAACAAAAAGTCCAAAAACGCAACTGCTAGAAACCGAAACCTGCGCTCGGAGTTCGGTGAAATATAGAAGAGGAGATAGCGCCGGAAGTCAAGTGAATACACCCGACCGTGCGCTTTCCCCCCCCCCCCCCCCCCCTTTTTTTTTTTTTTTTTTTTTTTTTTTTTTTTGATTGCCCGCAGCAGGCGACATGCGTTGCGGGTTTGCCGTGCGATTCCTTTGAAGTCATGTTTGTTTGGTACATCAAGATGAGTTGTTTTGTATATTGAAGAGTTCGAAATGAGTAGTGAGTGCCCGTGGTGAATTCCCGTGATCGGCTCCGAAAAGAATACCCCCGGGATTTTGCGTGAGAAGCTGCCTTACAGGTCCTGCATCCGAAAGTGGCATTGTGTGACAGAGTCTGCACAAGTTTCCACAAGATCAACGGAATCGGGACCTGTAGGAGAGTTTCCCGAAGCTCGGAAAGCGGACGCTACCCGATTGATATGCTACTTGCACTTTGTGGAAAGTGACTACATTGAGTTCGGAGGTGTCAAAAAACAAATCCCATACCATTTAGTTAAGCGAATTTTCGTCCACAACAATTGTTTTTTTCAGTGATAATTAAAAAAAAAAGTAGATATCGAAGATGTCTAAAAAATAAGAAAAAAAAAACGGTACGCCCACATTCGAGATTGAACCTAGGTCCGGTGTGTGCGAAGCGGACACCTTTCAACTGAGCTACCCACGGATTTTTCTCTTTTTCTTTATTTCAAAAAGCGAAAATGTCAAGTCACTTCAAAAGCTCTACAGGACTTTTTCAGAACATGTGAAAAAAAACTGGCATATCGAGCAGCTCTTACAAGTAGTGATGGCCTGTAGCTCAGCCGGTTGGTTATCCATGCTTACTGATTACCAGCTGAACGATAGGAAAAGCGACGAAGAGAGAAAGCAGTGTGTTTCTTTCTCTCTTCGTCGCTTTTCTTAACGTTCAGCTGGTAATCAGTAAGCTCTTACAAATGTTTAACCACTCGGGCTTCGGGTCACACTTTGCAAATACAATCTCTACTCTTTTTTAGAAAGACAAAAGAAGTAAAACCGCACTTTTTTCGCATTGGGAGATCGGAAAGTTCGCTGCCGATTTCCCTCCAGCAAAGGCACTCCAGGCTCGAAGTACGAAGTAGAAGAAATCGTACGCGTGCATATTTATCTCGAAGTACGCACTACGTCCTTTACGCTTGCGCCAGCGATGTCTTCAGCCACGACAAGGGGCGACGGCTCGGCGACGTCTTCGTGCAAATCGTCTTGGTAGTCGGGCATGTCGTACGGGATGAATCCCAAATCTTTTCATCGGTCCGTAATTTCTCTTT